AAAATCTATTAAAAAGAAAATAATATCTAAAAATCTATTAAATCTCCAAAAAAGAAAAGAAAATCTATTTAAAACTCTAAAAAAAATCTACTAAATTCCTAAAAAGAAAGAATATCTATTTAAAACCCTAAAAAAATTATTAAAAAATCTATTAAATTCTATAAACCAAATATTAACCTATTTACTATCTAAAAAACAAATAAACCTATTAAAAAATCTATTAATGCATTAAAAATCTAGAAAATGACAGAAAAAAATCCTAAAAATGCCAGGAAGCCGATTAAACCAATTGGAGAACGATTGCGCAACCGTAGTGAAACCCGGGCACCGAGATGGCCTAAAAACACAGGGAACGAGCACCAATTCTCAACAGACTTTTATTCCAACCGGCCTGTACTGCCTGAAACACCAGGGGCTGCAATCCCGATAAAAGTCAATCTGACTGAGGAAAATGCCATGTATGCAATATGCGAATGCGAATGCAAAATGCGTCGAAACATAAACCAGATATGGGGACCAGTTGGTCAAATTTTAGGGTGCAACAACATGGTTAGATATATGTACCGATAATTGATATATCTATTAATTGTTCAAACATAATGTTGTTGTATTGGTTAATAGAGCAAGAGATCATCTATTAAGTAATATAACTAATATCACATCGTTGACATCAGAGATGAGCTGCCATGAAAGCAATATGTTGTCGTATTAATAGATGAGTAGAATGGCATATTACTGACCAAGTTTTCTCACGATTAACCCTAAAATTTTAATTTATTTTGTCATTTTATTTTTCGTAAACAACCAACTCTGAACAACCTTTTGCTTAGAATCATAAAAATTGTTGAATAGTATTTAAAACACAACCAATCTATGTGGAAACGATAATATTACGCTTGTTATTTGCAATGCAACACATTTAGTGAAGAACAAATGGACCCTCACTTTTGGACATCTTATAAGAGCACAAATTCCACTCGTATCTCAATTTTCGATCACATCCAACACTCATTCAAACTCTAGTCTAGTTCAATCAGAAATGGTTCTAACCATCTTCTATAAGATCGACTTTTATTTACACCTAAATATTTGTCTCATTCATATTGGTAATAGTTCAACCTGTCTTAAATACTGATATGAGTGTTAGAGTGTTAATCTTGCAAATACTCCCTCAGATCATCGAAGTCCATAGCCACCGTACCACAAGCTTCGCCGTAGTGGTCAACCTTAACGTCTCACTTACTCATGTTATAATACTAAACACACTTATTACTTATAGTTAATGATATAATTTTTGTTGTTGGTATAGATTGGATATCCTTTGATGAAATTGTCTAGACTAATCTATTGAGTCTGGGAGAATTATAAAAAACAACAAAGTTCCCCCTCAAGAGAATCTGATTGTTAATAAGTTACTTAAATCGAATGAAAGTCAATAAATAAAAGTATAATAATAAAATATATAATTTATATTATGAAGAGGTAAATATTTTGAAGTAATTAAAAAATACAAATAAAACATTTTTATGAGATTAAGAATAATAAATAATATATTTGTAAAGTATTCAATACTTAGTAATTTCATACAATATTAATTAATTTACAAATTTGAGATATAAGAAGTATTAATAAACTTCGAGCAATCTCAAATTTTTGTAATTTAGTCGTAGTTTAATTATAAAAAAAGGTTTAAACAGTCTTTTGGTCTCTGTAAGTTGGCGTGTTTTTTATTTTTGTCCCAATACTTTTTTCTAAAAATAATCCCTAAATGTTTAAATTCTTTTGATTTTAGTCTCTATAGTTAAAATTCGTAGAAAAATATGTAGAAAACTTGTGGATTTTCCTGCGGATTTTAGCTTTAGGATTAAAATCAAATGAAATTAAACATTTAAGGACTTTATCTAGAAAAAAAGTTACAAGGACAAAAAACAAAAATACGCCAACTTACAAGAATCAAATGAAATTCAACATATAAGAACTTTATCTAGAAAAAAATGATACAAGGACAAAAAACAAAAATACGTCAACTTTAGATGAAAAATGGAGCAAAGATGAGAGCAAGGTGAGGGAGATGCAAGCTGTTTAAAACTTGAAGGAGTTGTATGAATCTTTAATTAAGAAGAACAAGAGGTTACATATCAAGATTAAGTCAGGGGCATTTTGGGGAGAACTAAAATTAATTTGTCTTGTATTTTTCTAAGTTTGTAATGTTGTTTAATTGATTTGTAATCTTCACTTTGTATGAACTATAATTTGGTCTAATTGATTTTGTAATGTTCACTTAGTATGACCTATAATTTGGTGTAAATGATTTTGTAAGTTTCACTTGCTAATTTGGAAAGACCTGTAAATTTGTTTAGTTATGCATTGTACTATAATTTATATTAACCTATAATTTTGGCAAAATGTGACCTATAATTTGACCTAATGTGATCGATAAATTTGACTTGGTATGACCTATAATTTAGACATAACGTGACATATAAATTTGACTTGGTATGACCTATAACTTTGACATAATGTGACCTATAATTTTGACATAATGTGACCTATAAATTTGACTTGGTATGAACTATAAGTTTTGACATAATGTGACCTATAAATCTTGACTTAGAAATGCAAACAGATTTCACCAAAGAGTAATTACAGACATCTCATTACATATTTAGTACATTACATTCATTACATATCAAAGTAGTTGTTGATCCATATCAAGTAGTAATTGATCCATTCATTTCATTACAGTACATATGACTTATCAAAATAGTAATATCTTTTTCAAAACATAAATATCTTCATCAATTACATCTTCATTGGGTTAGCCCGTAACAAATTTTTGTCCAACTTTTTGATATCCTACCACCACTAACAAATTTTTGTGTGGTTTCCTCTTTAGTTTTCACCAAAGGATCATCAGGTTTTTTTACCAGGGCCAGATACATCCTTTGTTTTCAGGGTCCTTAGATTTCACTCTGTCTTTTTGCATCTGTCACATCAGCATTCTTCTTGAACCTGCTCTTAACCTGGGATAAAAAGATAACACACATCAGAAAGATGACTTAAGAAAGAATGGATATGCTCGGAACATGTTTTGATACTCATTGGTTCACTCCAACTTGGCTTTGGCGAAGATAATAATGGGGTTTGAAAGGTTTGTTTTTGCAAACTTTTGGTTGTTTACCAAAGAAAACCTTGACACCACTTGACTTTGATTCACTTGGCTTGATAGGTGATTTATCAACACTCAAAGGCTGAATATCAAAAACATCATCATCCCCTAGTAATGCAGCCAAAGTCTCAGTATCCCAATCACAAAACTTATCCAAACTGAAGATTGTGAAGGTTGTTCCTTATTGACAGTTGGCTCATTTTCACTAGGTTCCTTGTTGACAGATAGCTCATTGACACTGGGTTCCTTGTTGACAATTACGAAATATGTATTAAGATCAGAATACACGATATTAATAAACAATATAGTTAATAACCTGAGACCACTGAATGCGACTAAGTATGGCAAGTAAAAGATTGCACATGAAACGAGGGAACAAAGCAACGACAAAGTGAATTACCTAAGACCACTGCAACGAAGATGACAAAGTTGTTGTTGGGACCACTGCAACGAAGATTTGTTCCTAGAGCACAATAAAGCTCTTTTCAACGTAGACGAAGATTTGTTCTAGGACACTCACTTGAGATGTGAACTGAAAGAGTTGTTTAATGTTATCTCACTTGTAGGGTTACAAGATAACGCTATCAACTATTCCACCATGACAAATTAGCAATTAAAACTTACACGTCTGCAAAAAAAAAAATACACCTTTGACATGACACATAGACCTCCGATATTGAAAAATAACATGAGAGACCAATTTTAAAACCAAAAAAAATTGTGAGGACCATTATTTAATTTTTTTTTTAAAACGACTAAAATTAAATATTAACATGATTATAAAAATTAAAAACATATTTAAATCTAATAAAAAATCAACTAATACTCTGATACTTAAACTTAATAAAGATAATACAACAAAAATGCTAATTTTTTCTTTTATTCATATAACTTTTAAACCTATATAAAATGTTCAAATAAGTCTATTATTATAGGATGGAGGTAATAGTTAAGTCATCTACTACAATTATTATATTTTTGGTATTAATAGTTTCTCTTTTTTCTCTTTTCATACAACATTAGACCAACTCCAATGGGAGTTTTTAGAGTGGGTTTGCCAACATGACACTCATATTTGTTGTTTTCAAGATTGCTATGTTGTTGAACGATGCTTAATTAAGCAACGGTTCTTCAACTGTTCTTATATTAAAATATTAATTTTATAATATAAAAATTATTTTAAGTGATATAAAATTTTCTGTAAAAAAATTAAAATTATTATTTTAAGTGATATAAAATTTAATATGAATAAAATATTAACATATAAAGTAAATTTGTGGGACTCAATATGAGTTCTTCAGAATTGCACCATTGGAGTAAAAAATTAGTTGAGTTGCTTCAAGCTGACGTGGCTTAATAGGTCCCACAAAGAACCCAAAAATGAGTTCACGGTTGGAGATGCTCTTAGTCTCTTTTCTTTTTGACCCATATGACATTAGTCATTAATACATAGCCTTATTTGTCCAAAAAAAACATTTAATATAGGTTATTTTCTAAAAAGAAAAGTGTATAAAGCGTGTCTATGAGAGAAAGGATTTATTTGCCGTTATGAAGGTTGAAATCACGTGCGATGCGTGCTTCCTTCTGACACGTCCTTCTTCTTTTAGCACTACTTCACTGTACAACCTTTCTCTCTCTTCTTTTCATATTTCATAACAACAACACCAACAACATTAACAATGGTTTTCAATTTTCATGCTTCTTCTAACACTATTTCACTACACCACTTTTCTTCATTTCTCTTCAATGGCATTTTCTGCATGTTCAACTACCAAATAATAATAATAATACCTTAAAAAAACAACTCTCATTTCTTCATCTTCACTCTTCCATGGCTTTTCTTTTTAAGGTTATTGTTCTCTCGTACCTTGTCGTGTTCCAGTTCTGTTACGCTGTTGGAGATAAATATGAACAAAACCCAGATAAACTTTCATTACTTTCTTTCAAAGGGTCTCTTCAAAACTCTCACTTTCTTTCTTCATGGCACTCTGCAACTCCTCACTGTAACTGGGTTGGTGTCACGTGTCAACTCGGACGAGTTACCTCGCTCTCTCTTCCTTCTCATTACCTTAAAGGCAATCTCTCTTTGTCTCTTTCGTCTCTTTCTTTTCTTAGTGTCATCAACCTTGAAGATAATCAGTTTTCCGGCGAAATCCCCGGTGAGGTTGGTCGGTTGTTACAGCTGAAAACTCTTAGACTCGGTTCTAACTCGTTCACCGGGAATATTCCACCGGAGTTTGGGGGTTTAACGAAGCTTCACACGCTGGACCTCTCCGGTAATGCGCTTGTCGGAGAAATACCGGAGAGTTTCGGGAACTTGAGCAAGCTTCAGTTTCTGGACCTTAGTAACAACATTCTCTCAGGTCCTCTTCCGTTAACTCTTTTCACCGGAACACTCTCTTTGATTTCTGTTGATATTTCGAACAACTCGTTTTCCGGCGAGCTTCCGCCGGAAATCGGAAACTGGAAGAATCTCACTGCGCTTTACGTTGGGATAAACAAGTTGTCTGGTACATTGCCTAAGGAGATTGGAAAGCTTTCGAAGCTTGAAGTTTTATATTCACCTTCTTGCTTGATCGAAGGTCCATTACCTGAAGAAATGGAGAACCTGAAATCGTTGACTAAGCTTGACCTCTCTTACAACCCTTTGAGATGTTCAATCCCAAAGTTTATTGGGAAGTTGAAAAATTTGAAAATTTTGAACCTTGTCTTTTCTGAGCTTAATGGGTCAGTTCCACCAGAGCTTGGAAACTGTTCAAATTTAACTTCTGTGATGCTTTCTTTCAATTCACTTTCTGGTTCACTACCTCAAGAGCTATCTGAGCTTCCTATAAGAACTTTTTCAGCTGAGAAGAATCTACTCCATGGACCTTTGCCTTCTTGGCTTGGAAAATGGACTAATGTTGATTCTCTTTTGCTTTCGGCGAATCGTTTTTCGGGTGTGATTCCGCCCGAGCTTGGGAATTGTTCTGTGATGGAGCATCTCAGTTTGAGTAGTAACTTGTTGACAGGTTATATACCTGAGGAGCTTTGTAATGCTGCTTCACTTTTGGAGATTGATCTTGATGATAATTACCTTAGTGGAACAATTGAAAAGGCTTTTGTTAATTGTAAGAACCTTACTCAGTTGGTTTTGATGAACAATCAGATTGTTGGTTCTATTCCGAAGTACCTTTCCGAGCTTCCGTTGATGGTGTTGGACTTAGACAACAACAATTTCAGTGGAAAGATTCCTTCTAGTTTGTGGAATTTATCAACTCTGATGGAGTTTTCCGCCGCAAATAACCACTTGGAGGGTTATCTTCCGGTGGAGATTGGGAGTGCTGTAATTCTCCAAAGGCTTGTTCTTAGCAATAACCGTCTCAAAGGTACTATTCCGAAGGAAATTGGAAGACTTCAAAGTCTTTCGGTTTTTAATTTGAATGGAAACATGCTTGAAGGAAACATTCCGATTGAGCTTGGCGATTGCGTTTCACTCACTACATTGGACCTTGGAAACAATCAACTGAATGGCTCTATTCCTGACAAATTGGTGGAACTAAGTGAATTACAGTGTCTTGTTCTTTCTCACAATAACCTGTCAGGGTCTATTCCTTCAAAGGAATCTTCGTATTTTCGACAACTTACCGTCCCTGATTTGAGCTTTGTTCAACACCTTGGTGTGTTTGATCTTTCTCACAATAGATTGTCTGGCACGATACCCGATGAATTGGGACGCTGTGTGGTAGTTGTGGACCTATTGCTTAGCAACAACATGCTTTCCGGGAGCATTCCGAGATCACTCTCGCGTTTGATGAATCTAACAACTTTGGATTTGTCGGGAAACTTGTTGTCAGGTTCCATTCCAGCAGAGCTTGGAGATGCTGTCACACTCCAAGGTTTATATTTGGGACATAATCAACTCTCAGGTACCATTCCGGAGAGTTTTGGAAAGTTAACTGGTTTGGTGAAGCTGAATTTGACAGGAAATATGTTGTTTGGTTCAATTCCAATTAGTTTTGGGAACATGAAGGAGCTAACTCACTTGGATTTGAGCTATAACGTGCTCAGTGGCAAGCTTCCATCAATTATGTCAGGCGTGCAAAGCCTTGTCGGTTTTTACGTGCAGAATAACAGGCTTTCAGGTCAAGTCGGGGAGCTTTTCTCAAACTCCATGACATGGAGGATTGAGACAATGAATTTAAGTCACAATTGCTTCGACGGAAGCTTGCCGTGGTCGTTGGGAAATCTTTCCTATTTGACGATTTTAGATCTTCATCAAAATCAGTTGACCGGTGAGATTCCTTTAGACCTTGGGAATCTAATGCAACTCGAGTATTTTGATGTTTCGGATAATCATTTATCTGGAAAGATTCCAGAGAAGCTATGCAGCCTAGTAAATTTGAATTACCTAGACTTGTCTCAAAACAGATTGGAAGGGCCTATTCCAAGAACTGGTATTTGCCAAAACCTTTCAAGGGTTCGATTTGTGGGAAACATAAACCTTTGTGGCCAGATGTTGGGTACAAATTGTGAGGTCAAAAGCATCGGTAGATATGCGTTGTTTAACGCATGGAGGCTTGGTGGAATCGCCATTACGGTTATATTAATAACCTTGATCTTTGCTTTTGTTCTGCATAGATGGATTAGCAGGAAGCAAAACGATCCTGAGGAACTCGACGATCGCAAACTGAATAGTTATTTGGATCAAAATCTTTATTTCTTGAGCAGTAGCAAATCAAAGGAACCTTTGAGCATCAATGTGGCAATGTTTGAGCAGCCTCTTTTGAAATTAACTTTGGTTGATATCCTCAAAGCTACCGATAATTTCAGCAAGACGAACATAATCGGAGACGGAGGTTTCGGAACTGTGTATAGAGCTACTTTATCAAATGGAAGAACAGTTGCTGTGAAGAAGCTTAGTGAAGCTAAAACGCAAGGTCAGCGCGAGTTCATGGCGGAAATGGAAACCTTAGGAAAGGTAAAGCATCAAAACCTAGTTTCATTGCTTGGATATTGCTCAATGTGTGAGGAAAAACTACTTGTTTATGAATACATGGTAAATGGAAGCTTAGACCTTTGGTTGAGGAATAGGACCGGGGGACTCGAGATCCTCGATTGGAACAAACGATACAAAATTGCAACCGGTGCGGCAAAAGGATTGGCTTTCCTTCATCACGGTTTCATACCTCACATCATTCACAGGGATGTGAAAGCCAGCAACATTTTACTAAACGAAGATTTTGAGCCAAAAGTCGCCGACTTTGGACTCGCAAGATTGATCAGTGCTTGCGAAACTCATATCTCTACTGATATTGCCGGAACATTCGGTTACATTCCACCAGAATACGGACAGAGTGGAAGATCAACAACAAGAGGCGATGTCTACAGTTTCGGTGTCATTTTGCTTGAACTGGTGACGGGAAAAGAGCCGACAGGACCAGATTTCAAAGAGATCGAAGGCGGAAACTTGGTCGGATGGGTTGGTCAGAAGATCAAAAAGGGTCAGGCTGCTGTTGTTCTTGACCCAACCGTTCTTGACGCGGATTCAAAGCAGATGATGCTTCAAATGCTGCAGATCGCCTGTGTTTGTCTCTCTGATAATCCTGCAAACAGGCCTACCATGTTTCAAGTGCACAAATTCTTGAAGGGGATGAAAGGAGATGAGTGATTAACTAGTTTTAATTATGTCATTGTAGTTGATGTAGTATTAATAGTAGTGCACACTTTTTCTAACATAAGCTTAGAGTTGAATAATCTATAATCTAGATTATATGCTTATTAGAAGTTCTTGTTTGCAAAATAATATTATGTATTTGTTGAGTTTGTGCATAATATGAGAAATATAATGCTTTGTCCAAGCAATATTAGTCTAAAAATTTATGTGATTTTCATCCCTCAAGGATTGCGTGTGATGCAAGTCGTGTGAAACAACTAGCAACTATCCTTTCTACAAGAATGAACAAAATAGGCCATGAGTGCTTAATAGTTGTGCGAGTTCCTTTTTGCTAATGTCACAATTAATTTTCAAATTTTTTTATTACATCATTTAGAGATTAAAATTGGCTTTCTAAAATGTAATTTTGATTTAAATTTTATAAATTCATTTCTTGGAGTGGATTTTGATTTAATTAACTATTCTTTTTTTTTTTATCTGTATATATAGGAAATTTTTACTGTCTTGTCCTCTTTTTGGATACAAAATATCAAATATCCATTCATTTCAAATTAAATGTCAAATTATTGTATTTTTAAAAAAATTCATTTTTGTTATAAAGGTGCCGCTCATTCAATGGGGGCAGAGTGTAAAAAAAATACCTTCCGTCCATTGAATGGACGCTCTGTATAATCAGAATTTTTTTAAATATTTTTTATATAATTAATATTAATAATTAATATATATTAATATTAATATATATATTAATTAATATATTTCTAATTATAATTAATATAAAAATATTAATATTAATATATATTAATATAAAAAATTAATATATTTTCAATAAGTAATTAACAATTAACACTTTTTTTAATTTATATATATATTATTTATATTAATTATTAATTAAAAATATATTTATTAAAAATATATTAATATTAATATATTAAAAAAATAAAAAAATTACGAATTATACAGTGCCGCCCATTGAATAGGCGGAAGACAGTTTTTTTATACATTGCCGCCCATTGAATGGGCGGCACCTTTATACCAAAAATATTTTTTTTTTGAAAATATGATAGTTTAATATTTATTTTAAAAATGATGGGTATTTGATATTTTATATTTAAAAAGTAGTAAGGTAGTGAAAATTTCTATATATCGGCTTTACAAAAAAACAAACGAAATAATAAAAAAAAATAAAGAAAAAGTAATAAAATGAAAGAAGAGAGAAAAATGTTTGAAAAATATAAAGATAAAACTTGTGAAAAAGAACCAGAGGAATTTTTTCTAAAAAGAGAACATATTAATTATTTGTCTTTTACTTTCTTTCTTTATGTATTAGAAAAGCCTATAATTTTTAATTTTTTTTTGGAGTGTTCGAAACATATTCTTTAACATATACATTCTCTTTTATTTATAAAAATTGATACATATTCCACCAAATTTACTTTTTTTTAATAAAGTAGCTTGAATTTCATTAAGTTTAAGCACTAAAACCAATAAAAAATGTAACATTAAAAGATTATTTAAAAACACATAAAATACAATGATGAAAAAACAAAACACATCAACTTATAAATGTTATAGTTTTTATTTTATTACTATTTTACGAGTTAAATTATAAGAAAAAGGGGAAGTTGAAAAAACATAACATTAAAATAAAGGATAAATTGCTTAATTTAATAAATTAGGTTGGAAAGTACAGCTATACCTATATTAGGGAGGTAAATTGCATTTGACCCTACTTTTAATTTATATAGTTGATATATTAGTAATATATACTAAACTATTTCAATAATGAAGAAAACCAAGACTAAAAGTGAGACAAAAAATAATTGTTTTAGGCTCACTAACTAACAAAAGAAAGAAAATATTGCTATTAGTTTTTAATATAAAACAAAAAAAGTCATACATATTAACAAAAAGACTCAATTACCTAAAACAAAGACAAATCTTTAGCCTCACATTATAGTCAAACATATCCTAAAATTTTTCTATTAGTAGGCTTGGGTATATATATATATATATATATATATATATATATATATATATATATATATATATATATATATATATATATATATATATATATATATATATATATATATATATATATATATATATATATATATATATATATATATATATATATATCACTGTTTTATGCAGAATACTATTTAGATCAAATATGATTGACCTATTTCTAACCTCTTTTAACAACTACATTTTAAAACCATGCAAAAGATACTTATGTACAAGTTTATGACCTTTTTTCTTTGCCACACAAGTTAGTGTTCTAAATTAATTATGGATAAACTTTTTTAACTATTGAGATAAAAAATATATCAGATAATTAATAAACAGTTTCTGTTCAGACTAAGTTATAAAATATTCTTTGGACCAATAAATTGAATTTGTTATGGACTTATACCTAGTCCAACTATGATCCAATGGGCTTCTATGACCTGGCCCAATTATCGAAGCCTCCATGACAAGATTTTACAAAATAACTATTGTCTAAATTATTCTCTATGACTAATCAATTTAGTGATCGGAAGTATAAAGACTTTAGTAGAAAGAAGAGTAGTTTAAATATTGTTATTCAATAGAAGACAAGTTGTTAAAATTTATTTATATTTAGTCATTGTACAGTACAAGGAGCTTTTAGGTTTTAAATATCGATACGATTTTATTAGAGATGTCATATTTAATATATTTTAAAGAATCAGAGTATCGGTAAAGAAAGAGACACCTGTAAATTTTTTGATTGATTCACATAATAGGAGATCGATACTTAGACCAACAGATCTTCTAGTATATGGGTGGATAGGAGAGAAACATGTTTGTGTGAACTTGATTGAATGTGGACTAGAGATTTCATTGTGAAACATACAACTCTCAAAACTGCTTCAAATAAAGTGGTTAAAAATAAGAAAATGTGTTTCGACAATCAACATACTTTTATACCAATTACTTTCGACATTTTTAATTTTCTAAGCAATTGATCTTTATAGAGAGCTTAAAGACTTATGGATAGAAATGCAATTGATCTTTATAGTCAACTTTAAGACTTATGGATAGAAATGCTATATCTCTTAAGTCCATAAATGTAATTTTTAAAACAATTGATTTCATCATCCAGAAAAAAAGTATCCACATAACTTGTTGTTTGTTTACCTTGTATTTATATATAAACTTTATTGTATGTGTTTGTTTGATAAGATTAGGCATTCTTATTTTTATTTCACTCCAAATGGAATATATGTTAATAAGGAAGTAAAATTTTACCTATAACTATAACTAAAGGTGACATCGTATTGATCTGGGCTGGTCCAACATGCTCTGAGGTATAAAGCTAAATTTTTGATTAAATTTTAAAAAAATAATGATGACTTATATTTGATTTTTTATTTATGAATTTGTATGTGTACACAACAATAGTAAAGTTTGATCAATTTTTTAAAAAAATATGAATAAGAGCATTCTTTATCCTTCTATTTTGATTAAAATAAAATTTTAATTTGCCATTTTAAAACTCAACTTTAACCCCTATTTAACATGTGTTGTAATTAGGAATAACAATGAACCGAACAAACTTAAAAATAGTTCAGAATTCGACAATTAATTTGTTAAACTTTACTCATAAATATAATGATCTGAATATGAGCGAAAAATTAAATTCGTTAATTAAATGAATTAAACTTGAATTATAAATAGTTCGACTCGTTAGGTTCACGAACCAACTCGATTATATATGAGAAAGATTATATTATCTTTAAGAGTAACTTTAAAGATTTAATATAAACTTTAATTTTATATTTTATTTTAGGCAAAATATCTTTTTTGGTCCCTTAACTATACCTCAGGGTTCATTTTTGTCCCTTAACTTTAAAAAGTTCCATATTGGTCCCTTAACTCTTCAAACGTTCCATATTAGTCCTTTTTTACATATTAGCGACGGAAAAAAAAATCAAAAAACCGTCGCTAAATCCGTCGCTAAATCCGTCGCTAATAGGTCAAAAAGGACTAATATGAAACATTTGAAGAGTTAAGGGACCAATATGGAACTTTTTAAAGTTAAGGGACCAAAATGAACACCGAAGTATAGTTAAGGGACCAAAAAGAATATTTTGCCTTTATTTTAATACAACAGTATTATATGATAAATTTATATTTTCAAGTGAGTAAAATATTTTTAAAAATAATTATATAAATAAAACTAGCATTATATAAATTAGTTAGCTTTTAAATTAGTATATTTTTGAGACAGTTAAATTCTAATCTAATAATTTTTATTTTATTTCAATACTTTCTTTAAAAACTAATATTAATATAAAATGTCATATAAAAAAATAGACTTTAAAAAATGGCGTTTAAGTTCGTGAAATAAGCGAGCTAAACCTAACAAGTTGAACCGAGTTGTTTGTGAACTTATAACAAATCGAGTTTGAGCTTAAAAAAAGTTCGAGTTAAACTCGAACCGGGATTTGACCTTCTTAACGAGTTGAGTCAAGTTGAGGCGAGTTCAATTCGACTCGGCTCATTTTCAACCCTACTTGTAATTTTTTTTTGTCTCCCATCAATAATGTAATTATGACATATTCATTTAATACATGACACGAATATTCTTACGTGGCTTTAGATAAGTAAACCAATTGATCAGAATTATTAAAAACTATAAATTGTAATTAAACTTAAAAACAAATCAATTAGTATTATATATATATATATATATATATATATATATATATATATATATATATATATATATATATATATATATATATATATATATATATATATATATATATATATATATATATATATATATATATATATATATATATATATATATATATATATATATATATATAGGTTAAAAGGTAATGCACTGTCAGTGTAAGACAGTTTTACACATGCAATTAATTAAAATGTCTACTATTTTCATGTAATGTCAGTATTTTTAAAATAAAAACATATTTTATTCTGATACATGGTTGTGATTGGTT